AAAAGTTAATTTAAAAATCTTATGTCCAGGCCTTACCCTGGACCCCAAGTGAGGCTCAGGAATGGTAATTTTTAGAGAGCTTCACTGATAATTTAAGTGAATAGCCCGATTTGGGAACTGCTGATATCCTGCTGGTTGGATGAATGGTAAACAAAATGTGTCTACACCAGGCGTCCTCAAACTACGGCCTGTGGGCCACATGCGGCCTGCTGGGTGTTTTTGCCGCGCCACTGCCTGTCCTGCTTAGCAGCCGACTCGTCCCGGGCCTGCAGTCCGGCCCTCCAACGGTCTGAGGGACAGTGAACTGGCCGCCTGTGTAAAAAGTTTGAGGACCCCTGGTCTATACACACAGTAGGGTCGCCAGAAGGATTTCTCCAAACCTGCTCTATGTTTGAGTTCTAGTTTCTTCATTTGAATCTTGGGCAGTTTACTTGAAATTGTATATTGAACATATTTATCAAAACACATTAATGGATTTAGTTCCCATCAGCCTTCTGCTTCAGGCTTTGATCTGTAGAAACAGATTGAAGCTGGTAGAAGAGGCCTGTTACAGCCCTTCATGGGGAAATTGAGGCTTCCATGAAAATTACCCTCGCTCTTGGGTTAATATGTTTGTTATTAAATGTATTTTTGAGTTACAGAAAATCTTAGATGTTACTAGCAGAAAAGGGCAGTGAACAAATTAGATGCAATTAACAATTTTATTCTCAAAGCTAATTACACATTAAAAAATAATTTATGGCTTCATTAGAGCAACACACAAAAGAAACTGTTAAATGTGACATCCTGGTGTGAATGTAAAACTTGCATAGAGATGTTTGCTTACTGGTTAGAGCTGAGCTCCTCAGATAGTTTTAGGTCCAGAAATGTTTGCTCAGTGTCCATAGTCCTAATTGTTCTTCCCTGATTTAGGACTTTTAATTCTGAGAACACAGCAGTGTGGTTTTCTGGTGCTGTTCATGGCTGTGAAGTATCTTATGTACACCGTGCATGGATGTCGAGGGCACAGAAGGCTTTGTGGGTTGGGCTTAGGGTTAATTAGGATTGGTTTCAACTGCAAATAACATAAACTCCAAAGTTTCATTGGCTTGTATCAGACCCATTAGGATGCCTGCTATAAAAAAAACCCAAACAGAAAATAACTTGAACACTGTTGACAGGACTGTAAAATGTATACCTATCATGGAAAATGGTATGGAAGTTCCTAAAAAATTAAAAATAGAGTTACTATGTATATGATGCAGCAATTCCACTTTTGGGTATGTACCCCAAAGAATTTATAACAGGGTCTCGAAGAGGTATTTCTACACTTATGTGCATAGCAGCATTATTTGCAATAGTTAAAATGTGGAAGTGAGGGCAGTGCCTGTGGCTCAAAGGAGTAGGACGCCGGCCCCATATGCTGGAGGTGGCGGGTTCAAACCTAGCCCCAGTCAGAAACTGCAAAAAAAAAAAACCCCAAAAAACTGGAAGTCATCCGAGTGTCCATTGATGGATAAATGGATAAACAAAAAGTGGTCTATACACACAGTAGCCCTTATTAAGGCTGAATAATATTCTATTCTAAAACTGAAAAACTGAATAAGGACTGGATAATCCATATTACAACATGGAAGAACTTTGAGGACGTTATGCTAAGTGAAATCAACCAGGCACAGAAAGACAGATACTGTTTGATTCTTAGATGAGGCAGTTAGAGTAGTCACATTCACAGAGATAGAAAGAATGGAGCTGGGAGAGGAGGGAATAGGGAGTTAGTGTTTCATGGGTACAGAGTTTCAGTTTAGCAAGATGAAGAATTGTGGAAATAGATGGGGGTGATGGGTTTCACAACATTATGAATGAAAGGAGAACGTGCTCACTCAGGATGGAAGTTGGTTGATTTCTTGTGTACAGTGTGAGTGATCAATTCAGTGTGATACTCTGCAATATTTTGAGACCCAGAAGGTTCTGCATGGCCTTCCAGAGGGCAGCTTCCATGTTTTAGGCCTCAGGACCGAGGAAGAGATGCCGATGAAGAGGCAAAGGCTCCTGCCTGACTTACTGCAGACCTGTGCGAGCTGTCACCGGCAGACTCATGTTTCCATTGGCCAGGACTTAGCCGCGGGCCACACGTAGGTGCAAGGAAGGCTTGGAAGGGTAGTTTCCCTTCTAGGCAGCCCCTTCACCAAAGGTCAAGGACTGTAACTTCTGGGAGAAGGTGAGACTGGATATTAAGGGGCAGCTTACAGGGAAAGGGGGCGAGGGTTGTTCAGGAAGCGGTCTTCTCTCTTCCTTCAGGGGTAAGATTCCCCAAGAGGGAAACCCTCTCTGACCAGAATGATTCTGGGGTCTCTCTGTTTCTTTCATTGCTATTATTTTCTCTAGAAGTCCAGGAAGAAATTGACTAGAAAAAAATAATAACCTGGCTGCTAGTATCTGTTGCTTTGTTAATCTTGTGAATGTTTACCTTTGGGCTTTCTCTGGTCTACACAGGCAGGGTGGTGTGGTTGTCAAAGCAAGTTTTTGGTGGCAGTCTCAGGTTTGAGTCCTGCCTTCACTCTTCTTTTAGTTGGGAGTTCTCCTGAAGCCAAGCCTGAGTTAAAGATTTGAGGGCAAGCAGCTTCTTTGGGAGCAGTGGAGTGAGGAAGTGAGATGGGAGGGAAGGCATTAGCAATGACGTTACTGTCACTGTCTTTGGGGGCAGTTGGAGCTCACTCTGCTGGATGTAGACTAGGCCTCAGTTATCCCAGCTGAGGGGGATGGAGCTCAATCTGCCCGATGTAGACTATGCCTCAGTTATCCCAGCTGAGGGGGATGGAACTCACTCTGCCGGATGTAGACTAGGCCTCAGTTATCCCAGCTGAGGGGGATG